CACGCAGTACTTGCCAGGTCGGCTGAAATTAATATTGCATTGAAGGAATTACATAGATATAGTTATCTATGAGGAATTGGGAATCTTATTGCATTATTCGAATCAACTAATAGAATGGACAAAGTTGATAATGTGTTTTTGTCAGCCGTCTTATAATCGGTAACTGGTAAACTTTAAGTTTGTAAGGGCAAAATTCAGCGCGAAGCGTACATCGACGAGGAGCGGCGGGCCGGAGTACCAGAGTGCGCGTTAGGCCAGTCCGCCGTATGATAGCCTCCGGCGGGAAAGGCGTGCCCGCCGGGTGAAAGGCTGCGGCTGGCCGGCACCTGGGACTCGCGGACCCGTCTCTCGGGGCATTTGGCCAGTGCGGTGTCGTCGGGGCAACACCTTTCGGTAAGCAATCTTTTCCCTCCCCCTAAATTGACGCCGCAGCGGCCAGGCGCTGCGGAAGTCCCCGACATATGTCCTGGATTTTAGTTGGCTTTCTGACCCGCCGCAAATAGCGGTGGCCGGTGGGCACTCTCGTTTAGGTATATCCAGGACCGTCCCGTCTAAATTATATTTAATCGGCGCGGCGCGTAGTGCGGGTATGAGTGTGCAAAATGTGTGTGGTACGCGTGGATGTGAGTAAGTGAACGGGAGATGATTTGATCCGCAGTACCTACCTGCTAAAAATATAGAGTCGGGAATGTGAGCCAAATCTTTGAGTTGGGTAACGGCAGATGCCGGGCTGATACACGGTGAACGTAAACGAACAGTCATACGGGCCGCTTAGTTTAACCTTGAGTTTAACCCTCGAGGGTAACCCTCGAGGGTTTAACCCTCGGCCGGCGAGGGTTAATACACCCGGGTGGCAGGCGGGCATTGTAGAGTAACTTTGATTAACGTAATGTCTATACACGGGGGGAGCCAATAAAAAGTTGCAGGTTCCGATACTTGAATCCCCTACAAGTTATAGCATGACCTTGATGAGGAAAGGTCAAAATTTGTCATTGCATTTTGCAACAAATACCATCCTAGGATGGCTGCAGCGCCAGCTTGCATTGCAAGTATGGCGGTTGAAAAGTCCTGTCCGCTCCGGGTTACAGCTTACTTATGCCGTACCCGATGTGGGTGTGGGTGGAGCAGATTGGCTATGTACAGTTATCTCAGTGGCATGTCCATCAAGACAGCCCATATTCAGCTCAGTGCTATAATTCAGCTGGACCTGGTCAGCAGACTATTACTTTTCCACTCAGGACTCAGGAGCAGAGCTGAACCAATGGTAACGTTCTTTCAAGTTGGAACACCGCCATATCATTTTGACGGTCGGGGCTAGCTATTTTATCAAATCGATTAAATTGAACTAAATTAAATTTAAAACAAAATCGAAAGCACGGTTAAACATGTACTATCATAGACCTGTGTATACCGACCTCTGGGCTCAGAGGTCTCAGGCAGGCACTATGCATGCCACTCAATTCCACTGACATCCCGGCCCATGAGCTGTGTGCATCATAATAAGGAATTTCCTATTCGAATCATGTTTATCTTCCCTGTATTTCGTAAACGGACACACAGAACGGCTCTGTACATGTGTGAAAATACAAACAAAAATACAGTTGCTGACAAGTGGCAAGTTGTCGGTATTCACAGATGAAGATTAGGTATGAGATATGTTACCTAAAACGAAGTGAGACAAACTTCTGGGTGCGACTTTGACAGGTTTTTACACCTTATTTTCACCTTTTTCAAGTGGGCAAATACAGGGTGGGCCAAAAAAAGTGTGTCACTTTTGAGCAGTAATTTCTCGAAAGTGGTAAAAGATACGAAAAGGAAACTTTCACAACTTAAAGAAAATCGTTTGACAAATTATATGATGCCAATTTTATGGAAAAGTTTCAACCGAACTGACGTTGCCATCACCATTTCAAAAAACGGGATCTGTGCGTCTCTTTATTTGCGCATGTGCTCGAAGTGGGCACCGCTAAGCTGAAGGTCATCCGGAAATTCGCTCCAGAAGCTGACGCTCACCCTCTCCGCGGTGGCTGCTGTCACTTCACGCATGTATTGATCGACGCTGACACTCAGCTCCTCCAGGCTACCGGGCTTGTTGCGATAGACGCTGTCCTTGCAGGCTCCCCAAAACCAGTAGTCCAGCGGGTTAAGGTCAGGACTGTGAGGAGCTCACTGCTTTTCACTTCCCTTGGAGATCACGCGGCAACCGAAGAGCTCTTGGAGCAGCTGCAGTGTCTCTCAGGCCGTGTGCGGTGGCGCTACATCTTGCATGAACAAAGCTTGTAGCGTGATCACCAAGGGAACTGGAAAGCGAAAAGCAGTGGGCCCCTCACAGTCCTGACCTCAGCCCGCTGGACTACTGGTTTTGGGGAGCCTGCAAGGACAGCGACAGCGTCTACCGCAACAAGCCCGGTAGCCTGGAGGAGCTGCGTCTCAGCGTCGAGCAGTACGTGCGTGTCGTGCCAGCAGGCACCGCGGAGAGAGTGGGCGCCAGTTTCCTGGAGCGTGTTCAGACGTGCCTTGAGCGTTGAGGTGCCCACTTCGAGCACATGGGCAAACATAAAAGACGCACATATCCCATTTTTGAAATGGTGATGGCAACATCAGTTCAACTGAAACTTTTTCATAAAATGGGTATCATATAATTTGTCAAACGATTTTCTTTAAGTTGTGAAAATTTCTTTTTGGTATCTCTTACCACTTTCGAGAAATAGCTGCTGAAAAGTGACACTTTTTTTGGCCCACCCTGTAAACCCATGCTAGCCATCCCCACTGCTCTAATCTCTATTATTCGTTCAGCGGCCCATATCGCTGCTGTACGACTATCATTTTGATTTGTGACGGTCTGTGATATGCGTTCAAGAGCATTCATTTGTTTGCGACATAAAGGTACACAAACATATACCTACAGGCACTGGCGGTCGCAGCCGCTAGCAAAAGGGGGGGCCAAAGTCACACTCGCGGGACATAACATTTATCCGTCACCGGGAGGGGGGGGGGGGTGATCGGCTAATTTTTTTTACGTTCACGAGGCGCCGCACAGTTGGAATTACTTATGCTTCATCCATCTCATTCTTGCGTGAAATCTTTGAGCTCAATTTAAGGCAAAATCACCAGTTCCATTTACCGTCTCACGGTGTGCCCACCGGTCGGGCCGCTGCACCATGACGACGGATCGGTGTAGCATAGGTATACTGGAAGGTCAGGCACGCGGATTCATGACCTTACCACTATAAAACAATTCGGAAAAGTACAGATAGGTAGGTACCTCTTGCTAAAAAGTTCAGATACCTCTTGCTTTGAACAAGCATGTGAAACCCAGAGAGCATTTTTAGACCATGACATTTACCCATATAGGTACCTAGTTGTGTGGCGGCGGGAGAGAGTAGGTACACCGACCTCTGGAGACCCCCACAGGTTCCGAGCTTTCAGAATTGGCAGCTGAGGGCCGCGCGCGACTCCTGCGGGGCTTCGCAACGGCTCTGTTGGGGCTCACTCAACCTGCGTAGTCCTACTGCTAAAAAGACTGGCCCTGAGCCCTAAGGACTTCATCAGTCTCTGCCAGCCCCAGGACCCACACCGGCTCATGGGGACCTGACGTCGAAAGATGAGGGAATCAGCGCGGGACCATCAGGACGTAAAGCAATTTAAGCAATCTCGATCAGGACCAACGTAAGGCTGTGCCGGAGACTGCGTGAGCCCTCTGATCTTCAGAAACCCACCCATGTATGTTTTCATGTAGAGGCCAGTTTAGGGCCCTCAGAGACCAGTACAGGGCCTGCAAACTACAAAGGCCAGTAGTTTGAGACCATCAGAGATCGAGTTGGGCTCTCAGAGGCTAATGTGGGTCCTTACTCATTACAGGCCACCATGGGCCCTCAGAGGTCAGCGTGGGGCCCTAAAAGACCGGCATGAGCCGTCGTTGGACCCCAGAGGCCAGCAGAGGGGCCTCAAAGGCCAAGATGGGCACTCCTCAGAGGCCAATGCAGACCCTTAGAGGCCGGCATCGGGTCTTCAGCAGCCAGTGCGGGACCCTTATTGGCACCTAAAGGTTCATCTTGGGACACCAGAGACAGAAATAAGGCCACCAGAGACCGGTGTGAGACCCTCAGACGCCGGTTGGGACCCCTGAGGCCGGTTAGGGGCCCTCATAGGCCAGATGTGGGGCCTCAGAGGTTAATGTAGGCTCTTAGCGGTCAACGTGGGCGCTTGACCGCCACTGAAGTTCCCTCAAAGGTCAGTGTAGGACGCTCAAAGACCGGTGTGGGAGCTATATTAATAGCTTGGCGTGTTTTTTTTTTAGCCTCGTGACGATCGAATAATTGCCAGGGCCCCATACACCTATATGGGGGCCCATTGGTTGTTTGAGGGGGGGGGGGTCAAATGATATGATGGCCCCCTTTATTGACCTTTGGGGGCATGGCCCTGATGCCCCCACCCCGGCCCCCCGCGACCGCCACTGTGTACACATTACACACATGCCTCTGAGATTACATACTAGCTCATGCAAACTCTGTGCAGGCCCCGAAGGTCCCACGCTAATCCTTAAGAAACCAAGCCGGCATACGGCATCACCACCGGGCTTCTGAGGTGCACAGCACCAACCCTTGAGGTCTTACTTTAGTGTCTTGGAGCCAATCTCCTTTAGCAGGGCCCACCCGCCACTGCCGAAGAGGGTCTCATGCCAGCCATTGCTGAATGCTGGGCCTACGAGAGCCTTAAGTAAACCCACGCTGATATTCCATATAAGATCCGGCCATACTCGTGAACCGGTGCCAGCGACGCTGACCGCCAAATTGACAGAATGCGAAACTGAGCCCACTCATGAGTGAAATTTACGTCCTTTGATGGCGCAAGAAAGAAAATGAAACATACGAAAAGCTTTTCTAGGACTTTTGTTCGATCTGAAAGGTGGGGCCAAAAGATAGTATGGCCCCACCTTTCAGCACCAAAGGGGGGGCCATGGCCCCCGTGGCCCCCCCCCCTGCGACCGCCAGTGCCTACAGGCTACGTCGTTTCGTTTAAATGCTAACACTGTCGGAGCTTTTTATCTAAAGAAAATTTGTCCGTACATTCGGATGATGCCGGTGCAGTCGCATTGATACCTACTCACTAGTCAGTAGAACCAAATCATTATTTCGTGGCACATCACAATAAAATCTTGCAAGTTTGCTTGCTTAACCCAAAATGCATCGTCAATCACCGTTTTTTATCATTTAGATCAACCTGCGCTAACTTCAAAACAAAACTGAATAGGCCTCACCCTGTCAGCCTTGTACAGTAAAAACGTGATAAAATAGGATAGAGTCATTAAAAACACGCCTTATTGTCATTTTCCACAAAACCATTCCTACAAACAGTATGTAAAACGGTGATAAACCTTAAAGATTTATATCAATCTTTACCAGTCCCTCTCCACCCCCCCCCCCCCCCCCCCCCACGAGAATACACTGCTAATGTTACGACAGACATTTGTTGTTCGCGGCGCTAGTTCTACAGTGAGGCACGGCGCTGCGGTCGCCGGTACCCCGTAGGCACGTGATGGCTATACGGTTCTGCGATCACAGATTAGGGACGCGTCAGATCACAGTCTGCCCTGCCGATTTTGACGGCAGGAGTCGCTACACCAGCGCCTCGGAGGTTCGTATCGACGGAGCCGGCGGAGGCGAGCTCACGAGCTCCAGCGGTGTCGCCGTCATCTCCGGCGGAGGAGAAGGAGGTTTTACCGCGGACGGCATGTCCTCAGCCCTGTAGATCAGCGTGGTGGCCAGCGCAGCGGACACGACTCCCAGCAGGCCTCCCAGCAGAAGATACAGCTGCGGCATGCCGAACGTGTCGACCAGGTACCCCAGCGTCAGCGACGGCAGGATCGACGCCAGGCAGTAAGACATGTCCAGGATGGCGAAATTCTCACCCAGACCGGCCGACTCGCTCGACGGCTTGTCCGCGAAGAAAATCTGAAGGAGAAGGCGAGGAAGAAGTTTTGTTAAAATCTAGTTATACGAATAAGTGTTAAGTGAATGAGTCATAAAAGAAGTCGAATTCGGAAGAAAACTGAACTTTTCTTACTTTAATGTCAGTATACAATTAAACGAATGGCTCACCTTGGGCTGATAGTGGTAGAGGGTTACCAAGCTGTTGGGTATCGTGCCCAGGATGGCGTACCCGCAGCCCATCACCGTGCACAACAGGTATATCACGGGCACTGACGATGTCAGCGGTAACATCATCATGGATACGCTGAACAGCGACAGACACAGGACGTAGGTGCCGCGCCGGCCCAGGCGCTGCGTCAGCAACGGTGCGCAGAACAGGCTGAACAGACTACCTGGAAGAGAAAGAACGAGAAAAGTCGGTCTCTGGTATCGGGAGGCTGGGCTTTCGAAAAGCAAAGGCATAATCATATATGTACTCGTATGTGCCTCGCACCGTTTTCCCACGAATAAAGATGACACATTAATGACAATGTCTACATAAATTGCATTAAACACTTTTTATATGTAGGAACAGAGATCACTGCAGCCTATGTTCCTCGCACGTTAGCACGGATTAGTTACTGGGTACGAATTGCAGGAGCAACCGTGGATTTGAGTCACCCTTCACGTAAACACTGTGTCTGGTGCAGCGACAACCAGACAGCAACATGACCCGGTCGGCTCTACAACGAATCGACATAAACAAACAACGAACATGGGAGGGGATACAAACGTCTTACCGGCGACAGCGTCTATGAGAAGTCCTCGGGAGCCTATTCGGATACCCGCGTCAAACTTGGCCCGACCTTCAGAGCCCTCTGGGTCCTCTGCTCGACCCCCGAACGCCTGAGGGTGAGCCAGGTCAGATGAGACCGAGACGCTTATTGGAAAGCTAGGATGCGTAAAAGACATCTACATACACGGTCATGCATATGGTTGTATAGGTATACGGTCATACACAATACACAATATATCGCACGCTCATATAAACGGCAACTAACGACAAACTTATGATTCTGGTGTCTTGATCAGTTTACGATATATTTTTTCAACATTCTTGGCCTGTATTGTAATGCAAGTCTGCTTCACGGACTTACCTGTCCCATGTAATCGGCCAAGAACATGTAGAAGGACATGAGCGCAGTCCACGAGAGCACATCAACAATAAAGAGTCGGCGTAAAACCATCGGCGCGTCGTAAACCTCCCGGAAGATCTGATAGGGCCACAGCAGGATCTGCGAAAATAGCCACGGCATAACGTCAGACGAGCTTGGCGAAGGTGAGTTCCACATAAATGCGACCCAATGGTGAACAATCAATACACGTGACGTAGGTCAGACATTTTCTTGCACATCGAGAGTTCAGAATGCTCCAAAAATAGTGCGTCATAGACACCGAGGTGGATCTATAAATTCCCACACATAGTCACCTGGCCTACGAGCCGCGCCGTGGTCTGGAGCGGGGTGATTAGCAGTCGACGCAGTATCCGCCGGCCGTCCAGACCGCTGCTGATGGTGCCCCCAATGCCGGCACCCCCGTGACGCAGCACCGCTAACCGGCGGCCCCGCACCCGGATCAGAGGCGAGCCCTGCTCTGAGTCGCTGGCGTATCTGAAACCATGGCAGCACGGCGCAAACTGAGGCGAATGTGTTTAACTATTTCTCTTCACTTCACGTCATGCAGGTAGTCCGCACGTCCGCATGACCCACACGATTCCCCCACATCACGCCGGCAGTCGGGTAACGAAATATGAAAGTACGAACGCTTACGTAGCCGTCAAATCAGAGTTCAAAGCAGGTCATATGCAGTCTCTTACCCACATAAATCGGAATTATTATTTTTTCTGATCTCGTTTTCCATCTGTGACGTCTATCCTCCCAATATCAGCGCCCTCTAGGCTCATGCTCATATACTGAATCCGAACACGAATACGTCACAAAGTATATGAACGTTCTGGGCTCTGTGTGCCACACCCACCCGACGTCATCACTGTTGGTGCTGGCGGTGTCGCTGGCGGTCGGCGGCGCGAGCGGCGGCGGCAGTAGCGGCGGCTCGCGAACGCTGATGAGCGTCACTGCCGTCTGCAGCGTGATGAACACGGCTATCACCTTGAAGGTGATGTGCTGGGATGTTAACACCGTGTCTGCAAATGGAGACATCGTGTCACCTCACGTTAGACCAAGTCAAACGTTACGACTATTCACTCAGATCACTAACGTCATCGGAGACAGCCTGGCCTGGACGACTTGGCTGTACGGCCCTCCAGGTATTTAGTGGTTGGTTGCCAACATCACAATAAGCGATCTGCATGGATGAATACGTCTATTGGCTGTTGAAAACCATTGCCGAAGTGTGTGCACGAACCCTCTTCACATTTCTATTGCGTCATTTTACAGGAGTGTCTCTGTCATTCAAAGTTATTACACCAAAAGCACATAGGCTAACTAACCACTCTTTTGCTGGAGGGCCTTACATCGAGCCTGGAGATGTTCCATGGCTATTCATCGAATAAATATTACATCGCAGCATACAACATCGATTAAGATATGCTCGAGTGTTTATATTTTCGTAGTTTGCTATCAAAGTATCCGTTGACTGCAGACATGTGATCCGATATTTTGTCATTCGATATTTTGTCTAGGGCCTAACAAAGAAGGATGGCAAGTCGGTCTCCACTCGCCAGTTCCACTCACCTGAGAACCAGTTCCATGAGAAGAGCAGGCTGCTGCCGATGGAGCCCATGTTGACGAGCATGACGAACACGGAGAAGCCGCGGCTGTTGGCCTCCTCCGATCGGCAGATGTCGGAGATGAGCGCCTGGTACGGGTTGAAGTACACCTGGGCGGTGAACGTGCACAGCACCACACTGAGCAGCAGGATCGTCCTGTCGGACACGGACCTCGCGTCAGTGGACGTCACTGCCGCGTCATCGCCGTCAGCGGGACGTCAGTGACGCACGCACCAAGGTCACATCACAGTTTGCTTACATCACATAGGGCTCGCGAGGTCAGCGAAGTGATTTTCCATGTGCGCCTAAATGTTTACAAGAGTGAAGTTCCACGCTAATGTTTACCGGAATCGTTTGAGACGAGGATAAATATCCAGCACGCGTCTGTATGATATCTGAACAGTATCTACCGTGATGTAAATGGCAGCACCTCTGGTCCAAATATTTGGAAACGAATGGAGCGTCAAGTATAGAAAACCGCCCTACTACCAAGTCGGTACGAGTGCTCGTGTCTGGTCTGGCTTAGAGCTGCAGTCTCATATAAAGCCACATGGCATGTAAAACGTATCTCCCATGAAAACGGACCACTCATCCACGCCACTGGGCCCCCGAAAAACGACCAATTCTCCTGCGGAAGGTGCACTGCACGCTCCGCTACACCGAGTGCGGCTGCGCTGCCACCGCCTTCCCGGCCCGGTCCCGCATGCACACCGTGGCTCTGTACTGACTCCGCCGAGAGGAGGCCGGCCGTGGCAGCCGACAGCTCGGCGGCGCCCGTCAGACAGCTTATGCCCAGCAGCAGCAGCGCGCTGTAGCCCAGCAGGAACGGCTTCCGGCGGCCCATCCGGCTGCTGCAGCGGTCCGACCAGCGGCCCAGCGTCGGCATGGCCAGCAGCGCCAGCAGCGGACCTGTCGGCAAAGCAGAGAGGGTTCATCACTGCGGAAATGGTATTTCCAAGGCCCTGGTATCCCCTTGCATGGGTGGAGCGCTTACTAGGAACGGAAATGCACGCAGAGGCCGGTGTGGGTCCTGTCATTCCGAGGCGGTTGCTATACCATACCATACAGGTTCAGGATGTCGCCTAGGTAAAGTATTTTCACTCGAGGCGAGAAGTAGCATTAGGCTCAGGACGGTAGCCATGTTTGGAATTTTGAAAATAGGTTAATGAGGCTTTGAGCGTTTCTAGTTTTCGGCCGCTCCTATAGGAAAGTATGGAAAGAGAGAGCGAAAGAGAGAGAGAGAGAAAGAGAGAGAGAGAGAGAGAGAGAGAGAGAGAGAGAGAGAGAGAGAGAGAGAGAGAGAGAGAGAGAGAGAGAGAGAGAGAGAGAGAGAGAGAGAGAGAGAGAGAGAGAGCATGGTTATCAGCAACAGCTGACTTTTGCACAATATTGCACGTTGCACACCTGTACATACCGAACTGAGTGCACGGACGCTGCATCAGAAAAAGTTGCAAAGGTGAAATAGGCAGAACAATGAACAGAAACTTCCACACGTGTTTCCCCAACCAACCTACTTCAACCCAAACGACCAAACAGCCAAACAACCGACCGCCCGACGCGACGGACCGACTGACCGACCGACTGACCGACCGACCCACCGACGCGACGGACCAAGCGACTGACCGACCAACCGACCATGAGGATCATCGCGACGGACCGGTCACCCGAAGATCATTGACGGAGGTCAAAAGGCTAAACCAATTAATCAGCAGTGCCATCAATCTCGAGCATTGACACGATAACGTTCGATGGTCTTGATTGGATATGGTATCGCTTCTTAATTAATGCCAATCTCCATAGTCAATTAACAGGGCTGTTAATTCTCCCGAATAGCAGCGATGCGATTAAAGAGGTGGCACCAGGTATTGTGTGTTACTTCTAAGCATTTAAATGTGAACCCTGTCTCCTCTAACCTTCTAACCTTCTACCCTAAAACTTCGGTCCCAACTTACCGATGCCCATGGTGAGGCTCATGGCCGTCTCACTGAAGTTGCTGCGTCTCAGCAGCGTGGGCGCGATGGTGGTAACAGAGGCGAACCCCAGCTCGCCGCCGCACGCCGCCATATTCAGCAGCAGCAGCCGGGGCAGCGAGGGCCCGCCCCCTGGTGACGTCACCATCCCCGCCGGCCTTGACCGGGCGCCGTGGTCAGCCAGAGGTCACCGCACTGTGAGGGCAAAAGGCGCTGCGTGATTCGTAGAGTTGATCAAAATATTGAAATGAGAATTGTAGCAAAGAAATATGTGAGCATATTTGAGCTGAGTGGTCAGTAAACAGTGTGCAAATTTATGGTAATAGGGCGAAAGAGCGAAATTTAATACGGACCAATTGATAAACGCTTGAGTTCACAGTACGGCCGACATTCGACAGCATTAATGGTAAGCCTTCCGGTTGCCGCCTACGGGCAAAAGAGACTAGATATGTAGAAAACCACCATTAAACGCAAATTAATGGGCGTTAGTTTTCATTCACTCAAAGCCATTATCGAAATCGCTTCGGAAAATGTCAGCCATAGTCGCATTTGAAGCCCCGGGTTCAATATAAAAAGGATATCTTACATTTTATATCATGGACAACGATATAACCGTTGTAATATGCCACTGTTGACCGAGCGGATGTGATAGGGCTTCGAATGAAACAAGGATACAACAGTAATCCACGATTAGCCGTCGAAGCGGCTGCGGACTGCGGACTGCGCCGCAGCACATAGGTGTATTGCGGAACAGCATACCCCGCAGTTTCAAACGGAGTGAAGGAAAAGCGAGTAGTAGCGGCTGCAGGTCAGTCGAAGTGAACAGAACGATTTTGGTATAAGCTCACCTATCACGATCAGCCAAAATGAACAAAAAGAATATGAGCTCGGTGATGAACGCTTAGGCTATAACATAGAATGGCCGTGGCTTCGCTGTCACGTAACACTGGCAAACGCGGAAAAGATGGCACGGTGAATGAGTTTAGTAGTTACTTGAATTGTCAACCTGACAGCACTCGCTTTTTTCTCTTCATAACAATGCCTGTCTACGACGCATGATGTAAGCTGTGATGACAAAAAAAAATTCCTGAAAAGACGGTGTTTCTAGATGCGTTGTTTAATGATAGAGTACATAATTAAATGGGACGCAGAACACTGATGCTTTTCTGTGAGACCATGTAAATGTTTTGGATGTCGATACCGACAAACGCAGCCGGTGTCCTCTGATGTGGCGGCGCACATTTTGTGTAGTTAGCAGGCGGGTGGGTTGTTTTGTGTCGTTAGTAGGCGGTTGCGTTCTGATGGCCACCAGGGCCTCGTTTCATAAAAGGAATTACTTACGGCGTTCCGTCAATTATGCCAGATTTGGCGTATTTGATGCCAATTCGGTTTCATAAAGCCGGGGACCGGAGTAATTCACGCCATCGAAATTACGGAGCTTCATTTACGGCAAATGCTCGATTCCGGACCAATTGATGCCATTCGGGTTTCATAAAACGACGTAATTAACGCCAAATATTTTATCAAGTTCTTGATATCAGTGGTGTACCTAAACTACGCACAAAAATGTTGCGTGAATTTGAATTAATGTGAAGATTCGAAGCTAACTTTTAATGTATTTTATAATGTTGAGCCCGGTGAGGAAGAAAGAACAGCCAAAATGAGAAAAAGAAACTGCGAATCTTCTGTACCAGTCGCTTTTTGTGGCCACTATCGGAATTTTGTTTATTCGCCGCGTCGCGCCACTTTCGTAGTTAGGCAATTCTGCTTAGCTGGCTTTCTGCTGTTTTCAATATATTGATTTAATAAAGGATGGTCATCAATATCAGCTTTGTTTTTTCATAAATAATTTTTAAGATTTAAATTCAACATACTTGTTTTATAATTTCTCGTAAAAAAATAAGTGTTGACATGAAATTGTAATTTCTAGGACGCTTGATAAATTACGGTAACCACGCAAATCTGCTTAGTTACGGAGGTGTAAACAATTCCAGTCGTGGCTTTGTGAAACGGCCAAGGCCGTATAAGGCCGGAAACGGCTTCATTTGCGCTCCGTAGTTTGAAAGGGTGTGAATTACGGAAAGGTGTAAGTTACGGCAGAGCTTTATGAAACGAGGCCCAGACCACGTCCACGACCACTTAACATTCTGGAGCGGAAGATCATTTTACCGTAAAGTAGGTCTTTTGGCTTTTGCTATCCAAGTTATTCGAGCTAGATATTTAGCTATTAAAATTATTTCGGCTTAACATTTAGATATGTACAGTATTAAAATATTCAAATACTGTACATATTTACAGTATGTAAATTGTAACTTGTAAGTATTTAAAGGGACTATCTCACCTTTAACATGGGGTTTGAGTTGAGATAGCCAAGTTTGCGGCGAGGTTCAGAAACCACTAGGTATCTATCTAGGTTGCAACCCCCGCGGCCTCTTGGTGTTGAAGAAATTCGTTCCCTTCATTTGAAAATGGGCCTTGTACAAGGCCCTATCTTCAACATGGAGCGACCGTTAGTGTGACGTCACCTCGTTTAGTCATTCTGATTTAAATGGGTTTGTTCGTTGAAAAATCGCTTAAAACTTGGTCTGAACTTTGTTGTGGTGCCTACAGAGTAAAAAGAATCAGCTTTATGACAGTAATGTGGCCTGGGGAAGGAGGTAATTTTGGGCTGTGACGTCACATATTTGAAAGTTTGTGTTTGGAATATGGGAAGCCTAAGATGTTTAATGAAAAATAAATGCCAGAACCGTGTTCCTGGTCATCCAATCTATAAAGTCGGGCACAATTTAACTGGTTTTAACAACATTTTAGAAGGTGGGATAGTCCCTTTAGCAACGTATTTAGGTTTAGTCGAATAAAACTATAGTGTTCGTGACTCCCAAGCAAACTGACAAGTGACAATGCGTGGCTCTTATGCAAACACTAAACCTTTTCAGTTGCTTCGACTTGTTTAACATAGCGACACACCTGTCCCTGACCCCACCTGACGACACATGCCGCGACGGAAGCGGAGGATAGCGTATCAGCTGATAACAAAATCCGGGTGAGATAGCGGTCATATCACCGAAGGAGAGCAAAGCAATCGTTAAACTTCAGCGCATTGCTTGGGGTAGCAATATGATAGCGCAGGCAATGACCATGCACTGTGAGTGTGGAACCTATGGTTATCAGATGTATTCCGATAAGTGATCTGAATGATGGACTGGGTGGTAAGCCAAATTATTAAGCCTAAAATCGTTCATGCAATCTGCGTCCCTCGTTGTTGCTGCCATATACAGACATGCAAAAAAAAAACATTCAGAAATTAGCTTTGGCGTATGTTATGACTCATGTCATAATAAAAGTACGCAATCACAGATAATGAATGGTCCCGTTAAAGACATAAAGCCTGACAAGCACGAGTAGATTGGGTCAACCGTAAAGATATATCGACTATATACGGTATCCGCCCACATCAGTCCTTGGATACGCAGCCAGTTGAATTTATCACTCTAAAAGAAAACCTGCAGTGATGTATACCGTCTACCTATCAATGCATTAATAACTTATTCACTTATTTATTTATACCATACCAATTACCATCGACATACATAAACATCGTAGCTTTCAGTTGAGGTGAAAGACTATCAGTACACCACTCCATCTGCAAGTGACGTGACATCACTTGTCTGTCTCTGACGTCATCGATGACGGAGCCGAGCTGTCAGCTGACTATTCGGCGAGCTGGCAGCTCGGTGTTTCAGTCTGCTGCCAGCCGTCCTATACCGCTGGCAGCGGCGCAGCTCGCTCGTCACTGTCCGAGCCCGTTTGCTGGCATAGGGGCGTGAACCGGGGGGGGGGGGCAGTGGGGGCAGCTTGCCCCCCCCCCCCTCAATTCTGGGGCCGTGGGGGCGGGGCCCCACAACTTTGAGACGGAATGCCGTACTCTTTTGTAAATGTTTTCTTTTTTGTTGAAAAAGCCAAGGGATGAAAAATAAGTGGCCTTAAACCGGTGAGAAAACAAGATTTAGGGGTACCCTAGGTTGATCTCTATTATGGTGTGCCCCCCAGTCTGAAAGTAGTTCCCGCGCCCCTGTTTGCTGGTCGGACTGGCCCCGGGCAGACGGATGGATCTCGTCAAGTCTGGTTAGTGAGACTGTGTGGCGTGTGCAGCTGTGTTGGCAGGCGTATTTTCGACCGGAAACGTGGATGTGGAACAGAATCCAGGCTTCCAACGGACAGGCATAATGGCAGAGTTGCTAGAGGTCTAAAGTAGGCTGAGCTGGATGAATGAAACAGCGGAGATGGTGATAAGTCATAAGATGACGATGGATGGTGAGACAGAATGGGTGTGCTATTAATTGATTAATTAACTTAACAGCCCTCGTTACCTATGATATTTTGTAAATTATGTTTGCAGTTAAGACAAAAATTCCTTATCCTCCACGTCACTAACCTCCTGATCCAGGCTGGACGGTCACCTTCATCAGACGTGAGTAGCACCTCCTCAGGAACGGGCCAACGTGCGGTGAACTGCACTGTCTGTTAGCGTCCGTTAGCGGAGCTGCACTGGTTGACCTGTTCACGGTGACGGCCTCAGCCCCGTCCCTGGCATTAGCGGGGCTGGCCAGTCCCAGACAGATGTCTCTCCTGAATTCCTTTCATCCATTCGGCTATGCAAAGGTCTCATTAGAACGAAAGGGCCTCACGTTAGGAAGCAAAAACCAAAGGAGTTCAATAGATGAACAGCTGGTGACCTATCTGCAGAGGACTAAAAATAATCAGACACCTGTGCACGAATTTCCACTTCTTGCTTATTTATTTCCATTATAGTTCACCCTAAAAATCAAAAGTTCAAGCTAAGAACAGCTTCCGACCAATTTAAGAAGGCCGAAAGTATAATTAGATAAATAAAAGAAGTTGACCTTTTCCTCGACATCAAAAATGTAAAAAGCCGAATAATATATTTTAAAAAACGGTGAGCTTTCGGCCACTGGCCTTTATCAAACCAACGTGATAACAATGTTATAAGACGATCCTGTGAATAATCTGTCTGCCATTTTTCAAAAACCATTTTTCGCCCCACCGGTCAACAACAGTGAGGCTATCGCGGGGTCATCAGCGACGGCCAACGACAACGGCGGCGCACTGGACGACCGTGTGGCACCTGCAACTTCAGCTGATACCAGCAGCCGGGGATCAGCACGTGCCAGGTCGGGTCTTACGTTCCGTTTCCCCGACACTGACAAGAAATTCCCACCACCCTCCAGTGTAGATGTGGAGCGTAGATTGAAACAGCTAAAAGACGATGTGGTGAAAACGTATAAAAGTCATATAGTGCATGAAAGTAACGTTACAGGAGAGCAGTTAGATTTTCTTAAAAAGGCACAGAAATCTAATGATGTAGTTTTTAAGCAGAGCGATAAGTGCAAGGGCTTCGTGATCATGGATAGGGATGATTATGTGAACAAGTCACTTGCTATTTTAGACGACTCCACAAAC